TTATATAAAAAATTATTTTAAACAAGGGTAATTTTAGAAATGAGAGAAGATTTGGATATAAGATTGAAAAATATTACTAATCTAATATCTACTGAAAAAAAAGAATAATAACTAAATCATTGAATATGATACAAAAAGAATTAAATAAATTATTTGATCTTAATAAATAATAATAAATGATAATATTACTATAATCAGCTCCTTTTTCAAATCACTAAAAACGTTGTACTTGGCATTTAATATAGAGACGAGTATTGCAGGAACGGGAGTCAATCCCCTTAATTTTAGCAACTAATAAAATAAAAATGTGGGTGAACTGCCAACCGCCTTAGTTCAGTGGCGATATTGAAGGTGAAAGTTATTAAATTTTTTTTTCTTAACAATAGGAAATTTTTTTTTGGAGAAAATGAAAAAATATTAAGATTTATCTAATTTGCATCCTTAAAATATAAAATAAGAGTGTATTAAATATATTTTTTTATAAATTTATATTAAAAAATAAAAATTAACTTTTAATTTATTAATTATCTAATTAAATTCATTTAATATTAAAATTAATATCAATTTTTATATTTTTATACATATTTATTACAAAAAAAATATTTTTAATTTGTGCCTTAATAGTATATATTAAATTTTTTTAAAATATTATAATTATTTCAATAGAGATTTAAATATTGATATATATCAATGTAATTGATATACATTGTCAATTCACTAAAAACTCCTAGTACAGGAAAAGATATAGATATTGAATTGGAGTAACATAATGTGTGGAAAAGGTGAGGAAAGTAACGAAAGAAAGTTATATTTTATTATATAATTTAAGATAAAAAATATGTGGATGCTCCTATAAAATCAATTTTTATTTTATTTTATATTATATATTAAAAAATAATTTTATTTTATCTCTTAATTAATTTCATCCATATATTATCTAATTTAAACTTAAATTTTCTTATATTTATTCAAAAAATTTATTATTAATCTATTTAAATTGTTTACACCTATAAAACCACTTTTAGTTGAACATTAAAAAGAAAAAAACTATTTTTTTAGTATGTTTCCTTACATGTGCAATTGATGTTGAAATAAAGTTGATTTTGTGTTATTGGAGAAAAAGTACAATCAATGCCTCCAAAGGTAGATAAACAAATAAAAAAATCAAAAATTAATTCTATTATTTTTTTATTTTTAATAGATTTTTTTAATTTTTTTAATTTTTAAATATAAAATTTAGATAAAATTTTATATGTTATATAAATAATAATTAAAAAAATTAAATCAAATAAAAGTACTTAATAAAAAGAGACAGTTGTTACTGTTGTTGGTTTTTTTTTTCTTTCTTTTTCTAATTATAATTATAATTTATTATTAAATATATATAATATTAGAAATAAATATATGAAAAAATAAATAATAATATATTATAATTATAAATTTATGA